TAAATCATTTTTAAATACGAAACATTGTACAAAATCCATTATACCCAGATTTAAAAACTGAAAAAAAATAGCCTTTTTCAGATGAAATAATATTTATATTAGCTCGTGTTTTTATGTCCTATACTCAAACAATTTTGTGCTTTAGTATTTTGGATTAGACCTAATTTTAAATAAGGGTAGATTTTCAACTTCATCCACGTTAAACAAAGTACACATACACAAATGTATAGCAACATCATTTACTCTCTGATTTTACAACCAACTACTTTCTTTTTCATTCTAAGTGTTTTGAAATTTCTCCATAAATTTTTAAACCATTATACTCTAGTGTTCAAAATTTAAGTAATACTAATGAAATTATATTGTTACATGAGAATCTACTGATTTAAGATTTTTTACTAAAATTTCACATGTTTCTATTATAAGATAAATTGCATTATAATAGAGAAGCATCATACGAGACATTTAATATATTAATAAATTTGATATCTAATGTATAATTGGATGTAGTGGGTTAACACGAATTGTCCCAACTAATTTGACCTGTTATAATTGATCAGATAAAAAAATTAATAAATTAGTCAAATCTATATTTTTAAACATCACATAAATTTTAATTTAATCTAATTTTAGATTAGGTCATGAATTCAGATCAACTTTATCTTATTTAAAAATAAAAATATAATTAATTTAAAATAATTAAAATAAAAAGTATATATTTTTATTTTAAATTGTATTAATATTTTTTTTTATTTCAAATATAATAAGCTAATATATAAATTATAAAATAATTTATTTATTTATACTTAAAATAAAAAATTATTATTTATTTATCTCAAATAATAATTAATCTTAATCATTAAATATTAAAATAAATTATTATTAAAAATTTAATCTTATATTTATTCTTAAAATAAATACTTTTTTATATAATTAATTTATAATATATATATATATATAATAAAATAATATATTTTTTATTTAAAAATAATTTATTATTATATAAAATAAATCGATTTATAATTTATTGATTAATCTATAATCTAAATACACATAAGTCATCACTTAAACGGATCGTAATTCATTTTATTTCACAGACTTTATCAATTTAAAGACCACATTCTATACAATATTAAATATTATTTTATGTTTTTAAGTATTTACTTATCAATTATCATTCATCAACTAGTTTACAGTATATTTTAAAACTTTTAGGTACGTCTTATTTTTTTGTTTTAAGTAACTTAATTCAAAATTAAAAAATTATATAATTTAATGATGTTTTTTAATTTCGTTTTTAAATAATTAAAACATTAAAAAATATAAATTCTTACACAATACATAAAATAATATTTTAATGTGATTAATATATAAAAGTTCATAAATTTATCCCACCAATTTGTAATTAAATGATATTAAAAACTAACATTTATTTATTCCTTTTTATTATATAATTATTCCACATAAAAATATAAATACTAATGATTTTCAAAATACAGTTTCTATTATGTCATTGTAACTTGTCGCATTCATTTTATATTTTACTAAACCACAATGACAACATATTCAACTTTTATTAATCTCTAGTTGCTGTTTTTTGTATTGCTTTTGGTTGGTCACGTGAATCATTATCCCATTAGACTAAATTCCTAACATATATCATTTCCTGATGAAAATATATTGACTCTATTTTAAAAAAAGCGGAAAAAAAAAACTGGGTCCAAAGTTGATGGTTTAGGGTCAAAGTTTTGCTTTTGTTGCTCTTCGTAGGGAAAGAAAAAGAAACGTTCTATATTTTGCCAAAGGCAAGGTTAAAGCAACAACAATAAAAAAAGAAACACCAACAAACAAAATTAGTACAAAACAAAGTGACTGTCAATTCATGAAAGAAAGGCCCAGATGCGAAGAAGGGACAGATACACAAAGTATGATTGATTTTTTAGGTTTTTTTTATAATTATGTTATCAATAAAAAATAATTTTTATTTTATTAATAAATATTTTTTTTTTTTAAAAAAATTATTCATAAAATTTGAATACAAAGCTTTATTTAGAAAAAGGCAGGCGCATACCAACAACGATGTGTTAGTCTATTCCTGTTTTTAGTATATGATCATATTTGTATCAGAATTAAAATATTACCAACTTTGATACACATCCGTATAAACTGAAAAAAAAATTATATATAATAAATGACAGAGTAAAAAATGTAATTTATGAAAGCGAGTAAAATAAAATTATAAGTCTTTTATATTTTTGATGCATTCATATACAGAAAGTATAACTCTCCCTGATTAATTCATTAACTGATACGAGGGTTTGTTTTCACATTTAAAAGCCAATAAACATTTATATTCTAACTCTATTCATTTTTACATCAAATATATATATTTTTTATGAAGCTGACTTGTAGAAATATATGCTAACATAAATAATTATTATTTAATAATAAGAAAAGTGATAAAAAAATTATTATTCTTCGTTATCGTTATATATTATACTTTTCATTTATATATGAAAAATATTTTTTATAATATTATATATTTCAACAAATGATAGTTGACTTTTATTATTATTATTATTATTATTATATATTGGTTTTTAAGTGTACTTTAGTCAAATATGATAAATGTTGAATAAAATAATTTAATACAATTTATATATTTGTAATGTATTAATTTAAATTAAGATATTAAAAACGTATACTTTTATAATAAAAATATTTTATAATTGTATATAATATTAAAAGAATAACGATATCTTAATTTGAATATATTAATTTAAAATTTTATTTTATACAAAAAATCAATTAATAGTTATATATATATGCAATAATTTAATTATTTTTATATGAATATTGTCATTAAGTTTTTTGTCATTTTTCTAATATATATATATATATATATATATATATATATATATATATATATACTTTTTATCTTTTTGTTTATACCTAATGATTTTTGTAAATGCTTTTGAAAATTATTATTTTTGAGTTTATTTAAATTTAAACTTTTATTAAATTAAAATAAAAAACTGAAGAAAGCCTCAATCGTTTTTATACAATTTTAGAACACACCAACAAATAAATATTTAATTATTTCAAATTCAATTTTACTAAATATTGATAGTTTTAATTTACGCATTGGACACTTTATTTAACCTTTTACTAACATTAGTGCGATCAAATGGAATTAAATATGTAAATATGTAATAAGACTAAAAAAATAAGTAAGTCAATCTTTTTTAAATGCATTACGTACTGGCATTAAATTTCATCATTATTCTACAATTTATGATTCAACCACGCATTTTCTTACATGACTAAAATCAATACATATTTATTTTGCAAGAATTAAAAACACATTTAAGTTATTTTTACTACATTCACATTTTTAAATGAAAGGTCGTGAAGAGAATTTGTAGTGATATTTTTTTTTTAGCTTTTTTAAATTAGTGAATAATACCACCGTTAGAAACCGAAGTTTCATTACAAAAATTGAAATAAGGTAAATTAAAAAAAATGTGCTAGTTGATTTTGAGGTAGACATATATTTATTAATTGTGAAGTTTAGTGAATCCAGTAAAGTTGATAAGAGAATAAGAAAAAAATAAAAAACAAAAGAAAAAGGTAAATAAAGAGACTACGATACGAAAGGGAGAGAAACGTGTAAATGTTTGTTGAAAATAAATTGTTGTAAAACACACACAAACAGTATTTATACAAAAGAGGTTTAATGATGTTCGAATCTTGTACTAAATACTTTCATACTTTAGCATTAAAACTTACCGACAAATGAAATTTAATCGTTTCAAATTTTCTGTTTTTAATTAGTTTTTAACTTCAAACATTTATATTTATTTTTACTTTAGAAATGAAAGAACTAGTAAAGACTTTGTGATGAAAGTTTCGTTATGTAAAACTCTTTTCAAGATGAGAAATGCAACCATTAGGTGTGATATACGCGTTCTAATCATAGGTTTTAAATATAAACTAGTTTTATTTATTTTAGTTCGTTCTACATTACGTTTATAAAAATGAATTAGATAAGACTTACGAATTAATTTTCTTAACTTTGCTTTGCATACTTACGGATTTACAAGACCGTTTGTATAAATGTAAAATAAATAATAAATAAATAATAATTTATACATGTACACTTTAAGATTAAAAAAAAGAGTAGACTTATTTATTTATTTGAATCTTTGTCTTTTTCTATATATTTCCTTTTCAAATATTTTTAAAATTTTTAATATTTTTATTCTTAAATAGTAAATGATGTTATAATCACCTACAAATAAACATATAATTATAATGAAAAAGCATGATAATACCATTAAGTTTCTAAAATTTTGTAACAAATACTTTTAAATATCATTAAAACTCACATATGAACAAACAGTTAAACTCTTTATTTTTATTTTTTATTTCAAACATTTATTTTGTTATTATTATTATTATTATTATTATTATTATTAAAAGTCTTGTATAGATTCTTAAAGTAATCTAATATATATAAATACACAAATAGTGCAGGTTAAATGAATTAAAAAGTCACCTAATAATTATTATATGTTCTATGCAAAATTTTAAAAAATATCTTATCACAACTATTGTACCAACCAACTTGTATTTTTTTTTATTTCATATTAAATAAGAATATTGTGTTTAAATTGTTTCATCATGTAAGTCACCCAGAGACAAGTCACTCTGTATGACATTTTCTGTGTAACTGTCGAAAAATTCATAAACATGAAATTGACATTAAACCAACCAAAGTAGTGACGACATAGGGTTAATTTCGTCAATCCAGAAACTCCAACCACTGGTTCAGACCCAAGGATCAGAGACTTCTTGGAAGAGGATTAATTTAAATATCCTTTCACTTATTTTCCTCCTGGACCTCATTCAATGCAAAATAAACTTATCCCGTAATATTGTAAGGGTATTATCGTCATGTCATATCAGAGTCACGCGCTTCAGACCCACACCCCAAAACGATGAGCATTTTCGTATGCAGTTTCTGTCTCGTCCCATCCCACCGTCGTGATCATGAACCTATCGGAAATGAAGAGGGCATTTTTGGAATTCAGCACCATAATCCGCCACGTGGAAGGCATACACGTGGCATCTTTACCCTTCTCTCGTTGTTTGCTTTTAAATACCCATGCCTTCTGATCCGCTCCTTATCCTGTCCTTGCTCACCGCTCCACTCGCAATCAATCAATACTCTCTCCACTTTCCCTTCGTCGTGGCCGGTGTCACTCTCATCGAAAAAATTCGAACCACTTGCCGGAGATTATGGATGCTCCGGCTGTTGATCTCATTTTCCCAAGGAACACCAATCATCGCTTGATTGAGAATCCCAATCTTCTTATCTGGTAGAAACCCCTAAGCAAAAGCGGTTTTACTTGGCTAGAGTTTAGAAGTTATTCTATAATTATTATCACCTGCATAAATCATTCAACAAAATAGAAAAGAACACTGGTATGCCAGAAAAGCATTTATTATGTATCATTATTGTTGTTGTATCTTTCTCATTTAGCTAAAATCTACAGTTTCTAGTCAACTTACTGCAAAGTTGTTTGTGCACATTGAAATCCAAAAAAGCAGTTCAGCTTCTGCAGAGAGTTTCAGTTTCAGAGATTTAATTAGCTTTTCAAATAGATTGGTCTTTTTTTCTCTGTTCTGACTCCCAATTTAAAATCAAGCTCGTGCTTCGGAAATGAACCAGATGAAGAATTAAAATCTTGAGAGAGGCTTGCTGTGTTCTGGAACCAGATCGTCTATTGTCATCATGCCGTTCACCATGAAGATTCAGCCAATTGATTCGCCCGTTCCTGCGGAGGCGATTAGGCTTGAGCCGGTGAAGACGGTGGTGAAGTCGCGGCTGAAGCGGCTCTTCGAGCGCCAGTTCTCTGGTGTCCTCCGTAATTCCACAGTGGGCCAGGAGCCGCCGCATCCTGGCAAAGACGGCCCCGCTGATATCGAACCGAGCTCGGCCTGTCTGGCAAAGATGGTGCAGAGTTTCATGGAGGAGAATCAGGAGAAGCACTCCGCTTCAGTGAAATTTGCACGTAACCGCTACACCAGCTTTGAGGATAGCTCGGACGCCGAAACACAAGCTTTCGGCAGTTTCGGCGACTCCAATTATTCTTCCTCCGGTGAAACACTCGAAATCCTCAAGGTATTTTAAATTTATTGTTCTGTGATTTATTTCTGCACTGGATAATACCTTTCTTTATTTTTATTTTTTTTCTTTGTTTGAATAGGGTTTGGTGGCATGTGCGAATTTATATGAGAGAAATTTGCTAGCAGACACTACAAAGATCATTGAGAAGAACAAGGCAACTTGCAAACGCAAGGATGATTGTTGCAGAAAGATCGTTACCGAAGGATTGTTAGCTCTCGGATACGACGCTTCCGTATGCAAATCTCGCTGGGAAAAATCAACCTTCTGCCCGGCTGGTACACACTGTCTGTTTGGAAAATTTGGCATAAGAAATTAATTGTTCACAAACAAACACGACATTTTTATTTAGAGTCTTTTTCATAAATTAATTGATTTGCGCAGGGGAATATGAATACATTGACGTGATTATGGAAAAGGAGCGGATGGTTGTTGACGTTGACTTCAGATCAGAATTTGAGATTGCTCGCCCCACCAAAACATACAAAACCATCCTCCAAACACTTCCTTATGTCTTTGTCGGCACGTGCGACCGGTTGCAGAGTATCGTGGCCATAGCTTCGGAGGCTGCGAAACTGAGTCTGAAGAAAAGGTGCATGCATGTTCCGCCGTGGAGGAAAGTGGAATACGTCAGAGCCAAATGGATCTCCCCCTACACGTGCTCGCGTGAAGTCAAGGAGGAGACAGAAGAAAAAAAGCACCTCGTGACAGAATTGGTGTTAACCGCTGCTGGGTGCGAAACTTCCCGTGAAGATGATGAAAAGTCAAAGTCAAAGTTGGTGGTTCAAAAGCCACCGGAGATGAAACCCAAGAATTCGCAGTCCGGTTTGGCAGCTGTCTTCCATGAAAACCCCTGAATTTTTTATTTTTTTTTTCTTCTGCCTTTTTATTTTATATAAAGTTTTGAATTAGAGTGAAGATAAAGGAGGGATGTGTAAGTAGTTTATGTGATAACTCTGTTCCCTTCTGCTTTTTATTGTAAGGGATGGGTTACTGACATGAATAAAAGTAAGTTTAAATAAATATATTGTTATCTATTTGGGAGATTGTAAGAAATTTTTAATTTTAGTGGATTTCTGCTTATGTTTGCTTTGCTTGAATTATCTTCTATTTGTTGGGACAAATAGTTTACTTTACTTGGAGTAAGATAGAATGATAGATAATTTGTAAATTACTCCTTGTTTGAAGCTTGGTTCTAATTCTTTCCTTGAAGAGGAAGCAATAGACCTTGACAAACAAATCTGCTGGTACACTGTAGATGCCTGGGAAGAGTAATTTGTAATACAATCCTTAAGATCATTTGACTGTACACCCAAAAAAATGCAAAGCGGATTTGATATTTGGGAATATACTTTCTCACTCTTACTTCAGAAATTTTTTATGTCTGCTACATTGATTGCTTCTTCATACTTCATCAATTTTTGCTTTTTCCCACTATTCATCATCATGTTCTGCATAATATGTCATGATTTATTTTTCCCATACGCAAATATTTGTAAACAATGATTTGATGATAAACATGGCGTCAAACAGTGGAACAGAAAATGTATTTGATGATAAATATGGCGTCAAACAGTGGAACAGAAAATGTTATTCATTCTCTTTCCGGGAATTGTGCAGTAGTGTGACTTTGTTTTTACAGAAAATGCTGTCGGTTTCTGGAAACTAGTAGCAATAACTCCCTTCAGGCGTGTAATGCCTTTTTCATTTTCTTCTGGTAGAAGGTCCTGGAAACTCATAGTTACTATAACTAGTACAAAGAGAGTGGGACAAACAACATCTTCATTTTTCAATATAATAATTAAAAATATTTGATCACTTAATAATTGATTTTTATTTGACTAAAATAATAATTATTGTTAGAAATAATATATTAGGCAGAGAGTAAAGTAATTACATTTATCTTACAAGAGTATTTCCTGTTGAGAATATATACCCCCATCTGAGTTAGACTCTTTGAGCTGCCTCATATTCATGGTGTAACTCAATGAAAATGAGTGTTTGTAAAAGAAAACTGGAGTAAATAGATGACTGGTGGATTGTCCTACCTACAATGGGTTCAACACATGTGGTTGAATCATTGGTAACCAAAATTATAAATTTATTATGATTTTTTTTCTTAGCTGATCCAAATGAAAAGCAATATTTGTTGGGTTAGTTCGCATCCTGTGGTCCACTTGGACATTTTACTTGCTTCACCTTCCTTCTTTTGTTTATTTTTTTCTTCTTTTAATTTTTTTTTTCTCTTTCATTTTTTTTTTCTCCCACTTTCATGAAGTCAAACAAAGCATTGGACACTTTTACACTTTCAAATCTTCTCAGTTTCTTCATTTTTAAACAAAGTATTGGGTGATGCAAACCTATTTTGTCTGTTTGAGGCACCTTGCTTAACTCTGAAGATCTACAGAGTCCCTTGGAAATTGGACTCTTCTTTTATTATTTTAAAACTGTTCATCATTAATGAATAACATTAATGGATATAAATGTACAAAAGTAGGAGAAAAATGAGAATATTTAAAATACTCTTAGACAATCGATAAGGTTTAAACAGAATATTAATAGTGTAAGTTGACTACATTAAATCTCCTCAATTTAATCCAATTTAAATATATACTTAAAAAAAACCATTAGATTGAATTTATCTAATTGAAATTAAATTAGATAACATATTTATAAATTTTAAATCCAGAAATATCAACTCTTTATCAATGTAAATCTTATAATGAAAATTTAAAAATTGAACACAATTCTTTGTAATAACTTTCTTTTTATGTTAAAATATTTATGTTTATGAAATTTATATTAGAATAATATTTTTATCGATGAAATGTATGATATAATTGCAGATGTTATTGAATTTTAAAAAACTAAGTTTAAAAAACTTATATTGTTTCCCATATTAAAAATAAGCCTCTAACCCTAATTTATAATGTAATTGAATACTTAAATATTTATTTAGTCAAATTTATCATCTTTATATTTGTTAAGTGTACTAAATAAAAAAATTAGTTAAAGTTCTTTAACTAAATTAAAAAATAAAAAATTATTCAACTCATAATCTTTAAATATTCGTAAATTTATACAATATTGCTATTATTAATTTCAATTATAACGAAATGGCAAAACAAGAAAAACAATAGTTCATACGAATAAAAACAATATTAAATAAATTTGCTATGTATTTGATATGGTTGAAATAAAAATATTAATTTAATTAAAAAATTTAAATACATGATAATAATATAATATTAATATTTGTATTCAATTATATAATATTATATTAATGAAAGAATAATCAATATTAACACATATATAGACAATTACTTAAAATATCTAAATAAAATTTATATAATTAGAATTATTCTAAATTTGTATACATGATTAGGTGATATAAATTTCTATTTTGTGTAGCTAACATTTAAAAAGGAAAAGTCAGATTTGCCCTTGAGTACCTTCTATGGATTGATTCATTTAATAAAGTTCTGCTTATTAAAGTACAAATATTACTTTATCTACTCTGTTTCATATAAATACTTAGATAGTTAAAATTATATATATATATATATATATATATATATATATATATATATATAATTACATCTATATTTAATAATTTTATAATTAAAATAATTTTTATTTTATTTAATCATAACTTTTTGAATAATAATATTTTAGAATTTTATTATACGACTAGTCTGTTGATTTTTTTTCCAGGTCTACCATATTATTATTATTATTATTTTCAAAATGATATTTAAAAAATTAAATATTGTATTTTAAATTATTATATTATCTATATTAATTTAATGTTTACTTGTTTGTTAAATTGAAATGTGTATTATATAATCTATATTTTTATATTATTTTTATTAGTATCATATACTGATAATATATTAATTGTTGTAATAAAAAATGATAATAAATTATTTCAGAAATTGATAGAAAAATAAAATCAACTTAATAATAAAGGTAAACTTAAGATAACTTTTTTTGTAAGGAACTTAAACCAAAAGTTTATAAACTGTTATGTATCTAATTAAAAAATATTAGATATTCAAAACAAATACTAATAATTGGTTGAAACTTATTATTTAAAATTATTATACTACAACTCATACAATAAAGTTCAATAACATCGTTCAATGAAAATATTTTAGGATTAAATTAAATAAAAATTAAAGTATTTTAATAATAAAATTAATAAATAATAATATATTTATTTATGTTTATATATGACATATTTAAATTAATCAATTTTTCTTTAATCAATTTTTTATTTATTTAATTTAAATAATTTATTATATTTTCTAATACCAATATAATAAACTATGTTCGTTTCTAAAAAAGAAAGTGTAAGTGAAAAGAAATTAATATAGAAAAAAATATTGTTAAATAACAATAATAACAAAAAGAAAATAAGAAATTTTATTATAATAGAATTTTTTTCTCATATATTAAAAAAATATATATAAGTATTCTTATCTAAATAAATAATTATTTATGTTTGTGTTTATAATTATAATATATATATATATATATAATTATTATTTTAATAAAATATCATTATAAAAATGAAACAAATATTTTATATATTTTTATTTTTAGAATATAATTATTTTATTAATTTAATTTAAAATAATTTAAACAATTATAATTATGTATTGAAATATATATTATTAAAAAATAAGATATAATATTTTTTTTCTTTCTTTATTCACACTTTTTTTTCGAAGGATATTCCTTTTATTATTTATTTTTAAAGTTTTTTTTACTAATCCTCACAAAATTTTAAAAAATTGTTAAAACTTAACAAAATATTTTAATATATATATATATATATATATATATATATATATATATAACTTTTAAAAGTATCCTTCGTTAATATGTCATGAATATTTCGTTTGATTTGCTAAACCACATTCCTGGCACAAATATATTGATTTATGTTTAATTTAAAAAAATCTTAAATGTAAATAAAAGAAAGTATAAAAACAAAAGCTTAATTTTTCTTCCTCAAGTACCAAAATATACAATAATAAAATTAGTATTTTCCTTTCTTCATATAGTAATTATATTTGCTTTCTCTCAATTTTTTTTCACATATATTTTTCCCGTCCTAAAATAACAACTGCTATTAATAATAATAATAATTATTATTATTATATTATATTATTATTTTATCTTTTAAATTAAAATATATTATTTAAAATAAAAATTTAAGAAATTATTTATTATTTTATAACTAAAATATGTTTTGAACTTGAAAAATCAAAACAAAAAAAAATGTAAAATTTATATTTAAAAACTAAAAATTACTTTTAAATTTTAAAACTCAAAATAAATTTAATCTAAATTTTACGAATTGAAAAAATAATTAATCAAAAATTTAAAAAAAATTATTTTTACTTTTTAATAATACTTAAAAGACATCAAAATAGTCTTAGAATGATGGAACAATTCGAAATATATGAGAATTTATCAGGTTTAGTAAAAATATTTATGGTATAAATTGAATCAGATTTATTTTTATTCAAACTTATTTAGGTCATGACCTATATGAGTTTAAATGCTCATATATTTGTGAGCGGATTAATTTTATAAAATAATAAATATTTTTAAATAAAAATAATATTATTTTATTATTATATATATATATATATTATAAACTAATTTCACATATATTCACTTATTTTAATAATAAATATTAAAATAAATATTTAATAATTAAAATGAATTATTATTTAAAATTAATAAATTAGAAAATAGTAATTTTTTATTTTTATTTTGATATTAAATGAATCATTATCTTATAATTTATATATTGAATCATTATATTTTGATAAAACTAATTCCA